GGAACTTATTTTGTTAAAACTCTCTCACCGAATCAAAACAAAAAAGCAGCAAATCAATGCGCGGCGGGGAGGCCGGGGCTGAATTTTCGGAGCCCACAACAAACCCATCTGCCTTCCCAAAATTTACCCCGGAACTTATTCCATTAAAACTCCCTCGCCCAAAAGAAAAGCTAAAAATGCGCGGCGGGGAGTCGGGGCCGAATTTTCGGAGCCCACAAATGTTCATAGTAGACACTTGATAAAAGTTTCTTGAAAATGAAGAAAAACTCTTACCCGTGGGAAGAACCTTGCAGAGACCATTCAATAGAAGTCTCTTGTTTTATGGACATAATTGCACTCAATCTTTACCACTATTTGTTTGGCACCAATCAAAGAATTTATATATACTTCTGTAAGGAGGAAATTTAAAGAGCATGATTTAAGATAGACTGAAAATTAACCAGGCAGTAGAAATGAGAATATAAATTATAAAACAACAATTAAAATTAACCTAAATAGGTGACATAAGGACCAAGCAAGAGAATTGTAAAAGATATAACAATATGAAAAAACTTATATTAGGAATCAATTTGTCTCTTTTGTCTCTCATAGCAATCTATCTTTAAAGATTAACAATTCTTTCATCTTTTAGATTTCATCATTTTATCAAGTTAAAATTTATTTTGTTTATTACTTTATTCTCTTTAACCATCTTAACTTATATGTCATTCCAATATCCAATATTATAATCATTCTTTTAAAATTATTCTTTCTAATTTTTTCATACATCCATCTTAACATTCTTGTTTATGCCATATTTAGCTTAGATTTTAATTTTTATTTTACAAACTAACATTTGGATTTATAACATCAGTAGCTTATTTATAGCTCTATACAATTTATCTATAAGCCTTTATTATATCATCTTATTAAATAAAACTCTTGAGGTGTTTCACTATTCGAAACATCTAGCCTTAACTCGAGAAGTTATATCATATACATCTCACTCTTTTATATAATAGATCTAAGATATTAAACCTATCGCACTTGGGTATCCCCTAATCTTCTAATAATATTAAATAATAATTATTAACAACATAGGAATTAAAATTATAAATCACATTCTCGATCTTTATTCTCCTAATTTTGAAGCTTCTATCTTCTCAACATTTTTGCTATTATACTAATTTTAAACTTACTCCAGTGGATGCCTCAAGACTTATAATTATATCATATCCATTAAGTATTCAACAAGGCTCCTTGATTTCAAAATTCTTTGTAAGCACCTTCATAATAAACACAAAAAGACATGGACTCAATATTGATCATTGATATAAAATTTAGTAATTAAAAATTGTTGGGTTACTTCACAACTATTTCTAATATTAGTTAGTGCTCCTTCATAAATATTATTAATATCATAACATATCTTTGAAAATTATTTTTCTTCCTTAAAAACACTAAATTAAATCCCTTGATAATTGATCATATGTATTCTCAAGATTGATAAAGTTATATGAAGATCATTTCCTTACACTATGTGCTTTATTAACATTCTTAACACAAAATTGCTTTTATAGTAGATAATGCTCAAAAAAAATTTCTCTTAAATTGATTTTACCTTTTTTAAGCCTATATTTTATTAATCACTATGTGAACTTTTACTTGCACGACCTACTTCAAATTATTTTATCTTTCATGATGGTTGATGTTTGAGGGTTGTAGGAAATAGTGCAAGAAGTGGGTCTTGATAATAAGAACTGATACATGTAACAAATAAAAAAGAAACTAGTAGAAAGATGACTTTAGAAATAGAAAAACAACAAGAAAACCCAAGAAAATGGAGAACCTGATACAATCAAGAATGAATTGCAATTAGAAGTGTCAATTGAAAAGCCATGTAATAGCCATTTTTGTGGAATGCAATAGATGTATGACCCGGTTCTTGATGATTGAAGATGAAAGGAAGTTGCCGTCCTCAAGTGCTGAAAGTTTGGAAGAAGATGGTCTCGTTGAGAGAACAGGAAGAGGCTGAAGGTGTAGAAGGTTAACGGAGGAGAGAGCAGGGTGGAAGAAAAAAAGTCTCGGTGGGGAAGACTTTTAACTTCCCACCATTCTTGATGTGAACAGCTGCCAGCTTTAGGTGCGGGGGGCGGGGGGGTGGGGTGGGAGGGGATGGGAAAGAGAGGTCTCGTTGTAAGAACAAGAACAAACTTGCTGGAGGCTGGCGGTGGAGAGAGCAGTTGGAAGAAAACTTATTTGGTGGAGAAATCATCATGGAAGGGAAAGGGGCAGTGAACAGCTAGAGATGTTTCTTGTAGGTGCTTGGGATTAGAGCAACAAGAGCATCATTGATAAGCTTCTTAGCATCTAAGAATGTAGGGCACTTTTAGAGTAGGTGTAGGCTGCAAAAGAGGAAGAGGAAGAAAAATAACTAATTTTAATTTCATAAATCTTTTATTACAACATGAGAGATATTTATACTAATTTGTGTAGACCAATTTTACAATAAAAAACTGGCATGTCTAAAAAAAAACTTAAAGTGGGATCATAAAAATAAAATAGTACTTGCAACATATGTATAGACCAATTGGGCTAAATCATTTGGTTTGCATTTTATTTTGCTAAAAGGTGTATCGCTGTGCTCTGCAAGTTATATTGTCGATGTGAAATGTTTTAAGTTTCTTCTTCTTCTCTAGTAGACTTTTATATTTATATATTGGTATGTCATGTTTGTAGACCATGCTTCACACTATAATAGTACAATCTTAGGATACAATAAAATATGTTCACATCTAACAATTGTCCCCTTCAACCATTCCATCAAGGATATACTTGGGTCTACATATTGAACAAACTATAAATTTTTTAATGTTTCAAGAGAAATAGCTACATTTTTTCCGTCACCCCCTTCTTTAAACTTCTCTAGTAGAGTTTTGGATGAAATTTTCAACATTGCTCTACATTGTAACCTTTTATTTTACAATGACCATAATGAAGAACGGATTTAGAGGATGATGGTTTAGGATTGCCGTCAATACAAAGTAAGTACCAGCATAAAATTCAGTTTTTTTTTTTTTGACAAGTTAAATATTTTTCAATTCAAAGATCTGCCTGCTTTTGGTTATCCTAAACAAATGCTGTTGTGCATGTTTCTGCTAATCAATCACTTGCCAGAAAAATTGTTAAGAAGTCCCACAAAAACAGCAGGCTCAAACAAAAAATGAGAGAATAGTTCAAACCAAACAAAATTTGCTTTTACACTAGCCTGAGTAAGAAATATATAGCTTTCCACCCTTCCAACATATAATTAGCTAAGCCTTTGTGAGAGATGGTGGGTTTCCAAGCTATTACTGAATCTCTACTGTACGTATTAAATTCAATATCTTCAATCTCCAGTTCCTACTCATCAGATTCAACTATATTATATTCAGCTAGCCACGTAATATCACAATTATCAAGCACAAAAAGAATTTGAATAACCTTTTGATTTGTAGTTAAATGCCATAATTTAGCCATCTAATCATCAGATACATATGAACTTCAGGTCCAGAACCTAAAGCACAAGCTTGTGGTGTTAGGAGTTCAACAACCATTAGAGAGAAAAGGTTTTCTTTCTAACAAATTATAGTACAAAATCTGGAGAAAGCGCTGGATAAATGGGTAAAGACATAATAGTCCGATCAACCAAAAAAAAAATCCATGCAGGAAGATAATGAAAGAACTCTAAGGGCTGTTTGGTAACGGATTTGTACTCGGATTTACGCCGGATTTACAGTAAATACTACCAAACAGTTTCAGAGCGCCATGTAAATCCTAATCCCACGTAAATCCAAGATTTACGGCGTAAATTCAGGATTTACTAAATCTCATTGTTCGGTAGATTTATGAATTTACTGACTATGGAGCTTGAGAGCGAGCTAGCTAGCTAGCTCCCGTCTTGAAAGTCTTGAAGGAAGGAGGAGGCAAAGATAGTTACATATGCAATATGCAGCGTGCGAGCTCCTGTTGTGACTTCCGATCCAATGGCTTCGAAGGAGGCGAAGCAGCGAATGAGCGAGCTCTCGTCGTGCAAAGCATGCACAACACGCGAAGCCGAAGCAGCTAGGAAAAAAATGGAGATGAGGAAAAGCAACCTAGCAGGAGAATAAGATGAAAAGCAAACCCTAAATGGACTCCCAAATTAGATTAGTTAGTTTTAATTGAATAATTAGTAGTATAATTATCATTAAATTAATTTAATTAATATTAGTAATTTATTGATTATTATAGTTAATGGTAGTATAATTGTCAATAAAATTATTTAATACTTAAATAATTAATTAAATCATTGTTATAAATATTAGTTAAATAATTTGCAATTTCAAAAATTAGTTAATTAACTAATTAGAATTTATGAATATAATTAGATAATTAGTAATAGAAGAAACAATTTCCTAATCAACACCTAAGTAATTAATTTGATTATTAGTAATAATTAAGCTAATTTTTAATTAAATAATTTATCATTATAACTTATTAAAGATAATTAAATTTAAAATTAATAGGTAACTCATAGTTAATATGTAAATTAAATTCAAAGCACATTAAATTTAATTTCTAAATGAACGAACTACCTTAAATCCTTGATTACATTGTCAAATAGTTTATAAGGATTTATCGGGATTTAGCATATTTCATACCAAACAATTTTCTAGATTTAACACCCTTAGAATTTACTAAATCCAGATTTACAATACTTACTAAATCCCACTAAATTAAATAAAATCAGATACCAAACAGCACCTAAGCATTATCAAAATTAGGTCGTAATCAAGAAAAGTTGAGTTTAAAAACGAAAGAATGCAGTTGTGAGACTTATGATGTAGATCCATATAACTTTGGGTGATATCCTCAAGGCTCATGCTTCGGAAAATTTAGTCAACTTAAAAAAAATTAACATCAGGAAAAGCGCATTGGCTTGCATGGATACCAAGTTTAGTTATCCATTTTAATACGTTAAGGGCAAAAAGCTTCCCGACCTTCCAAAGAATCTCTTAGTGGCTGAATGAATTCGGTAAATTCCATGTCGTCAAGTGCTTTAAAAACATCCTCTGCGTTGATAGTTTGTCTCCTAGATTCCTTGCAAATGTCATTTGCCCTGCACCAAATGGGACACAAGAAAAATCAGGGAAGAACACAGATATACTTTCACTTTGATGTAGTCAAATACACAATAACTAATAAATTCCTTTTTTCAGAGGCACATCGCAACAAAGAATTAAATTGAGAATGCTTCGAGCTAAAGAAAATCCAGAAACCGTCCGAAAGGATAAACCTAGAAAAACCCAGCTGAAAGCGGATAGAGATGGAAGCAAGTGGCTTACGTGGCCGAAAGATAGTGGATGAATATTCGGGCACTCTCAGAGAAGGCTATAAGCGCGTCCTTGTGAAGCATCATCTCCTCGTCTCCAACTTCACCGGATTTGGCCTTCTTGCTGGAGGCTGACGAAAGTTGGAAGAGTTTTTCCTTCACCACTCGCCGTACAATAGTCTTCGGTAGCTCCTCAACTACGGTAGATGTCGCAGGCGTAGCGGCCGTGCCATCCCAAGCTTCACCTTTCGCCATGGATCTCACTCCCTCTCTAGCCCCAAACTTTTATTTGTTCCGGTGAACATAAGCTACTCTACTTTGGGCCACCAATACACTTAGCATGAAGAAAAGTGGCCGACCCGACCCGCTGTTTTTTGGATTCTAACGCATGCATTTTTTTAAATCCTTGACGAGCCGAACAACATCTCATCACCTTTTCGATATATTTCAAATACCTAGCAAATACCGAGTTGTACCTAGTTTTTTCTAGCAATACCGAGCAAATACCTAGCAATACCGAGCAAATCCTGAGCAAATACTGAGTTGTACCGAGTTGTACCTAGTTTTTTCTAGCAATACCGAGCAAATACCTAGCAATACCGAGCAAATCCTTAGCAATACCGAGCAAATACTGAGTTGTACAGAGTTGTACCAAGTTTTTTCTAGCAATATCGAGCAAATACCTAGCAATACCGAGCAAATCCTTAGCAATACCGAGCAAATCCTGAGCAAATACGGAGTTGTACCTAGTTTTTTCTAGCAATACCGAGCAAATACTTAGCAATACCGAGCAAATCCCTAGCAATACCGAGCAAATCCTGAGCAAATACCGAGTTGTACCGAGTTGTACCGAGTTGTAGAAAAACTCGGTACAACTCGGTATTTGTATAGTTTTGGTCTTCACAGAGCGGTATTTCTCGTTTTTGCAAAGCAATACCGAGCAATACCGAGAAAATCGCGAACATAGCATTCCCGGGTTCCGCTCCGGGTCAAGTCGTCGGGCCGCGCGGTAAAGAGTAAGAGCACGTGGCGACATGTTATTAGCGGCCGAACGTACCTCTACGTCAGGTCAGAGGACATAATAATTGTTCCTCTAGCCCCTGGTTCTGAGCTCTCGCTGGGTTGAGCCAAATTGGTACGGCGTTGGCAGCTAAAAGAAAGGATGAAAACCTTCCAGCCTTTAATTCTTTTACCAAACTAACCTCCCTCTTTTCTCTAGCTAACAAAATATTTGTGATAAATAAAACTCTGAAAAAAATAAAAATATTATAGCAAGACCATATATGAATTCAGTTTTTTTATTTAAAAAACAAATACATAAGTAAAAAAGAATATATAATGGAAGTCATATTTTAATTTCTTATTTTTAATATCACATGTTTCAATGAAAATTTAGATTTGATAGGTCAATTATATAATTTAAATAATATTTATAAAAAATAAATAATAATTGATATACTATCAACAAATTATCTTGATCGGACATGAATCTCGAGGAATAAAATTAAGTTGAAAACTTCTAAAATTAAATATAGGATCATATGAACTTCGATTTCAGCAAACTTGTAGTCGAATTGATCGTCCAAATGAGTCTGAATCGAAGACCTGAAGCGCTATTGGAAGGATCAAACCAAAATTTGGATTACCAAACAGTTTTCAAACGTGACATACTTATAGTCGAATTAAGCGGCTCGACGAGATGAATCCAACGAGCCCAAGATCGAAAAATTCCAATATCATTAAGACCTTTAAATGTCTGACAAATGGTCCACGATCCAGGGATTCAATTTCAGCTGTCTATCTGAACCACTCCACATTTGCCCTTGATCCTCTTCCTATTTACGGGTCATGCCATCCTTAAAAAACTATAAATAGACATCTCATTTCACTTGAGAGGGGGTAGGGGGAGGAAGAGGCAAGAAGAAGAAGAGAAGAATGAGAAGAGAAGAGAAGGAGGATATGAAGGAAGAAACTCCTCGACCACAGCCGGAATTCTGTCCGACTTCCACGGGATGCCGGAATTCTATCCGACTTCCACAGTGACGCTGAAATTCTGCTCGACTTCCATAGCACGCAAGAATTCTATCCGACTTCTACAATAACGTGAAATTTTTCCTCAACTTCTACGAGACGCCAAATTTCTGTATGACTTCCACGAGACGCCGAAATTCCGTCTGACTCCCAAAGTGACGCTAGAATTCTGCCCGACTTTCAAGTGAAGCCGAAGTTCTGTCCGATCTCCAAGTGACTTTGGCTTTTTGTCCGAACACCATCTAATATCAGAGTTCTCCTCGTCCACCGACTTACGTCAGACTTCTACCCGATGTCGGACCTCCACTCGTCACTAGATTTCCATCCGACGTCGGACTTCTGCCAGTTGTTGGATTTCTGTCAATTGTTGAACTTCTACTTGACACAGTTCTTCCGACCTCTGTCGCCCGCCAACTACGATGACCTACGTCGCCCACCGACTACAGTCCTTCCGACCTTCGTTGCCCGCCAACTACGGTCCTTTTGACTTACGTCGCCCACCGACCATAGTCCTTCTGACCTCCGTTGCCCACCGACTACGGTCCTTCTAACTTACATCACCCACAGATTATAGTCCTTCTGACCTCCGTCACCCGCCGTCTATGATCTGCCAACTTGCATCGCCCATCGACTACGGTCCTTCTGACCTAACAAACACGTCAATAGTGACTCTTTGTTTTCTCATGATGTACTTCATATAATGTACATCAAGCCAAGGCCTTCCCCCTAAGGAAGGGCCTCAATTGTAATCAACCAAAAATAATAGTGGATTCATTCAAATTGGGCTAGGCCCTGTGGTTTTTCCCCATTTTCAGGGGTTTTCCACATTAAAATCATGGTATTTTTAGTGAATGACGCATTGTCTTTCTTTATCTGTATGCATGTCATATTTTCATACAAAGTTAAGACATTAAACTTTATATTTCTCTACTGCCGCGAATACTCCAGGACACAACAGTTTAGCGTCGTATGTGAGAAAGTGATTCCCGACTGACGGGCAATTATTACTCCAACCTTAAAAAGTTTTCAACTTCTATTAATGCATCAATTTCATGGGAATCAGATCTAGAATTGAGGGCAACCTTAACTACAATTTTAGTCAAGAAGATCCCTCCAAAACTTTTGAAACCAAGACAATATATAAGGAAACTCCCAGCAAATGTAAGGATGCTTCCAATAAATTTCAAACCATATACAATCCCTTACTGGACTTCTACTCTTTAGACATGGTCTTAATCTTGACCTCAAAAAGGCAGTAACAGTCTACAGATAGGACATTCTCTACATTTGATTCGGGATACATATGACATTCTCCCCATCCCAATCAAGGCAAAATCAAACTCATGGGGATTCGATTTGACCTATTCCATACAGGTTAACATCATTAAGAAGGGCTCTGACATACAACCTCAAGTAGGTCTTATATCCTTGGTGGATTCTCTCGACCTCTTCCATACAGGTTAACGTCGTCGAGCAAAGGCTCTGTTATGTAAGCTTGGATAGGTCTTACATCCTTGGTGGATTCTTACAACCTTTTCCACACAGGTTATCATCATCGAGCAAATGCTCGGACATATAACCTCGGATAGGTCTTACATCTTTGCTGGATTCTCTCGACCTCTTCCACATATGTTAATGTCGTCAAGAAAATGCTACGACATATAACCTCAGATAGGTCTTACATCCTTGGTGGATTCTCTTGACCTCTTCCAAATAGGTTAACATAATCAAGCGGTGCTCTAATATACAACCTCGAATATGTCTCACATTCTTGGTGGATTCTCTTAACCTCTTCCATATATGTTAATGTCATCGAGTAGTACTCTGACATATAACCTCGGATAGGTCTTATATCCTTGGTGGATTCTCTCGACCTCTTCCACACAGGTTAACATCGTCGAGCAAAGGCTCCGACATACAACCTCGGATATGTCTTACATCCTTGGTGGATTCTCTCGACGTCTTCCACACATGTTAACGTCGTCGATCAAAGGCATCGACATACAACCTCATATAGGACTTACATCTTTGGTGGATTCTCTTGACCTCTTCCATATATGTTAACGTCATTGAGCGGTGCTCTAACATATAACCTTGGATAAGTCTCACATCCTTGGTGGATTATCTCAAACTCTTCTACATAGGTTAACGTCATCGAGCGGTGCTCTGACATATAACATCGGATAGGTCTTACAACCTTGGCAGATTCTCTCGACCTCTTACATATATGTTAACATCATCGAGTGGTGCTCTAATGTAAAACCTTACATAGGTCTTATATCCTTGGTGGATTCTCTCGACCTCTTTCACACATGTTAACGTCATCGAGCAGTACTCTGATATATAATTTTGGATAGGTTTCACATCTTTTATGGATTCTATTGACCTCTTTCACATAAGTTAACGTCATCGAGCAGTGCTCTAACATACAATCTCATATAGGTCTCACATCCTTGGTGGATTCTCTCAACCTCTTCCACATAGGTTAACATCATCGAACGGAGCTCCAATATATAACTTCGGATAGGTCTCACATCCTTGGTGGATTCTCTTGACCTCTTTCACATATGTTAACGTCATCGAGTGGTGCTCTAATATACAACCTCAGATAGGTCTTACATCCTTGGTGGATTCTTTTGATCTCTTCCATATATGTTAATGTCAATGAGTAGTGCCCTGACATACAACCTCGGATAGGTCTCACATCATTGGTGAATTCTCTCGGCCTCATCCAAATAGGTTAATGTCATCGAATAAAGGTTCTTACATAGAATCTCGGATAAGGTCCTACATCATTGGTGGATTCTCTTAACCTCTTTCATATAGATCAACATCATCGAGCAATGCTCTTAGTAAATAATATTCTTTCTATAAAGATTTCATGAAAGCAAGTGGTTAATAAATTCATCACTCATATAAAGATTTTAGTAGTCTAAAATACCCTTATAAAATTAGGGGGGTGGGGGCAATATAACAAAGCATGCCTCAAAGATGCAATCATAATTTAGCTTGCTCTGATGAACAAGTTCTCAACTTCTTATATAATATGAATGAAGTTATATATATATATATATATATATATATATATATATAATTCATTAATATATTATATTCATGTGTATATTTGCTTCTCATCAGAAGTTGAAATTAAAAAGTACATTGGCATCAATCGTATAAGTTATAATCATCAAGCAACAAGCAACTTCAAAACAGTAAACTATCCTTAGTGGATTTTAAAAAAAATAAGTGATTTCTTCTCTACTAC